ACAAGAGTCAGCCTATCAGTACAATGACATTTTTGCAAGTATCAAAAAAATAAAGCCAACGGGATTACATTACACGGTCAAGACAAGCAAACAGCGATGTGCCTCACGAACCCTGTACAAGTTCAATCCTTCGCAGACCATCCGTGCTTGCTTCCAAACCAAAAAGCTCGCTGCCGATGGGGGTTGGTTTGGGGTTTTTTTGGTTTGGTTTTTTTGTTGGGTTTTTTTTGTTTGTTTTTTTTTTTTTTACAAAATGATGACTGCTAGCTACGACAGTGACGCGCCTACGCTACTTCTCATCAGCCATTCACCAACTTGCTTAGGGTTTAAGTATCAAGAACCTAAGATGCAAATCTGAAATGTGGGCTTGGTGTAATCAAATCCTCGAGAACCGTCCTGTAGCGACACACAGCGATGCTGTTCTCCAGCTGAACGAGTTTAACGCGACAATTATTTTTCCACAAAAAAACCTGTCTTCCCAGGAACCTTTACTCAGCTTCCACTCCACGGCAGCTTTAACCGATCCAAGGCCCGGCGCTGGCGTTGCCACAGTCCCGCGTTCCCCTCTTCCGCTGTTCCGTCATGGTCAGTTTTCGGCGGGATCAGCTCCTGGCACAGGCTCACCGTGCAGCTGCACGAGCACCAGCGTGGCAGAAGGCAGCGGGGAACAAACGTGACCAGTTAGGGGAGGAGGAGGAGGAGGAGGAGGAGGAGGAGGGAAAGCTTCCCAGCGCTCCGTCAGGCCAGGCTGCTGGGGAACGCTGCTGCTAGCCCAACTTCACACTATTCACAGAGTGATTCTGAAGTCTCTTTAATCCTCAAAACAAATCTTTTTGCCCGAAGATACCGACAGAACACCTCTGATGGATGGCCTCTCCCAGAAAGAGGCATTTGTTTTCTAAAAATTAAGACATTTACCTCGCTCTCAGGAGGCGAGGGCCAAGACCAACCAGCTGTGCGCTGCGGGCTGACGCTCACCACGCTGCCTGTGTGACTGCGATCAGTTTATTTCTTCTCGTATCGGTCTTTGATAAGGAGTTTAAAGACGTTTAATGGCACAAAACACGGAATTGGCATGGCTGCAGACGGAAGGTACCGTCTGTCGTCTTTGCCACCCAGATCCATGGAAGTCCTTTCACCAGGAAAACACCGCCTGTGCAACCTCACGCTCTGCTTACAGTGGAAGACATTATTTTAATACAAGAGTGGTTCCTTTCCCTCGGCACCTGCCGGAACAAACGCGTCCAGCCGAGCTGATACCATACCAGTAGGTATCATCACTTTTTAAAATTGACAATAGGAAGTGAACGTTTTACTTTCTGGCCTTGACTTCTTGAATTCCATGAAGCTCTAATTTAGCTGTCTGTACATTTCAATGATGCAAGCATTAATTTTCCACTGAAATTTTAGCTTTGCAAAGGTGCACTCGCCGAGTCCTTGACCTCGGCTCATAACGGGAGCGCAGCGCAGCGAGGGGATGGGAGAAGGCACGGTTAACTTTTGGAATTCCCCGCACTCGGGCGTACTCGGTGCTACTCCAGTCCTCGCTCAGGAGGAGGAGGAATGACAGCGCGGGTCACACGACTGGTTCGGTAGCCACAATTCCCTGCGATACAGGCATCTTACAGGCAGGGGCTCACCTTAGTTTTCGACTCAGTTGTGAAGCTATGACTCTCATCATCTACTTGAATACACCAATGATACGTGGTTGCTTCAAGTTGGTTTAGACAAAGAAGATTAAAGGGTACGATTTGCAATGTGATGCTACAAGGAAGCCAGAACCAGGAGGGAAAATAAAGGAAAATGGGTATTTCCCCAGCAGAGTCACACTACCTGTGTGTTTCTGGACGCTTTCCTTACCGAAGAGGCAAGCCCTGCTGTTGCAGGCTGTTTCGGGCTGTGGGCCCGCGCTCCTGTTCTGCCGTGGCAGGCGGGTTGCTGAGACTTCCCCGCTCCCCCTTCTCCTCATCCACTCCTTCCTGCTCCCTCTCCCCTTCGCGGCTCGATGCTTCCTCAGCTGCGCTGGTCCAACCATCCGTAGGACCACCCTGGAACTCGGCTGTGGGAAGGAGCTGGGTTTGGGAAGGGGGGGAAAGGACGCTTACTTCTCGCAGTGAGAGCAAACTGTCCCAGCAGTTCCGCCGCCAGCGGCTGATGGGCCCGGCCCCGCTCCGGCCTCGCTGCGCTCTGTTCCCCTTCAGCACAGCGCTCGCACACGCGATGCATTTTTGGCGACGCATTCGGGTGCTTTGTTTAGAGAAGGTGTCTCCTTAGCACGCCTTGGGTTGATACCAGTCTTGTTGTGGGAGATTTTTAATCAGGTCTTGGAACATTCGGGCTTTCTGATACATTTCAAGAGTAATGGAAAAACGTGTTCCTACACAGACGGAAGGTGAAATGAATCAAAGGTGGAAAGGAAGCCGGTAATACTGAGGTGAACGCTATTGTAGCTATAATGCAACTTAAGGAAAAAAAAGATTGCACATGTATTGCCAAAATAAGTATGAAAGACGTCATTTTGGTGTCAGAACCGAGAATGCTCAAACCTAGAACAGAATACATACGGACATGGGAAATTAACACACGATTACCACCAGCAAGCAAAGACCACAAATGAAATCATTAAGAGCTCTGGAAATAGGATGTGGTGCTTTCTAAAAATACATGGAATTGGAATAAATGATACAGCTACAGGATTAACTGCTGAAGTTGCGCACCTCTACATTCAAGACTCGAGG